GACTTACCAATACAAGAGGATCAAATCATAATGCCGAACAACAGTTTAGTCAATTGCATTAAAAGTAAAAAAAAAAAAACTTAGCTTTTTAAGTATTGTTTTTCTTTAAGGATTTCTAGATAAATTAATCATGGCAGGTCTTAAAATGTCACCAGAATCCAGTGATGTTTGAAGAATCTAGGATGGAAAATTCTTTCTCAAACCTAGAAGAGGCTTTGGAACATCTCAGGCCTCAATGTTAGCCAATGAGTACAAAGAAGCTAGAACAAGCTGAAACCATATTAAACAAAACCTCAGAGAAATTAAAAACAAGGGAGCAAAAGATACGTCATTTGAAAGATGGCAAAAAGAGCTTCAGAAAGAAAACACCTCCTTAGCTCATGCAAACGACAAATTAACAGATGAAATATCTGCTAAAACAGAAGATTTTGCTTTACTCAGTAGAAAACTGCTAGATGTAAATTCAAAATATGAAACTGACATGCAGGCGTTTCAAAATAGGCTCAGACAAGGAAAGGAAGAAGCCTCAAAAACGTACGCAGAACTCCAAAAAGCGTAGATTGAATAAAACGGTTTAAAAAGGATAATACCACATACTTTAATCATATAGCTGAATAACAGGAGGAGATTCAAACTCTGGGAAACCAAATCTACAAGCTAGAGGAACAGGTTAAGACCCTAAAAACTAGAGAACGTCCAGTTCTAAGTCCCGAATCCTCTTTCAGAGGTCTCCACATACCTCCATCAGTAAGGAGATCCCCTGAACAATCATCCTTCAGTCACTTCCACGCACCACACACATCCTCCGGTAAGTGGACACCCTCTACAGTCTTATCCAACTCAAGTTAATGAACAATGACCAGGAGAACCCTCAGGTATGTACACCTACAGACCCCCCCCCCCCCCCCCCCCAGACAACCTCTGGTAACACCAACAGTTGTGAAGACTGAACCATTCTCAAGCCAAATGAGAACTCAAGCCCAACATGGTCCAACAGACCATGAATTTGACAAAATGGCTAAGAACATCTCTCATTTTGATCCCACACCAGGTGGTCAAAATGACATTAAAGCCTATCTTGATGACTTAGCATTCTACCTAAGAAGATTTCCTGAAGTTACAGTTAAGGATTACATCCATCTGATTAAGTCAACGACTAGCAGAGAGGTCACTAAGTTCATGGACCGCCAACAACCCATGTACGAGCAGACCTGCGTTTGCTATGCTATTCTCTAGAAATGGAGTTTTCAGACAAAACAATACAATTTGGTCTGACTTCTGCTCTAAACACCAGACAAGGTAAACAAGAGCCACCGAATAACTATTACTATAGACTCCTAAATGTCTATTTTGGGTCTAATAATTATCCGGGGATGGAAGAGGATGTTAACTTTCAAACTCTCTTCGTTGAAAACCTCCATCATTCATTGAGTCAACACTCAACTAGGTGTGATGAGAACAGCCACAACCCATCAGTTGCGTAAACGGGCGTGTTTAGCCTTTCAGAAGGTGAGACAGCCCAAACCAACTGAACCAACAGTCCTGGCTGTAAACACACGTTCTCTACCTCTGGAACTTGAAGGAACACGAGCAAATTATGACTCACAACGAGCCAAATTGGCCCCTTCATCACCCAAGTTTAAGAGAACGCAACAACATTTTCCGTCTGAAAACCCCCATCACGGTGAAAATCAGAACAGGCACTCAGACTCTTGGAGAGACCACGGTTATACAAGTCCTGATCCAATCCTTTAGATAAGTAGTGTTGAACACAAGTAAAAAGAAGTCTAGTGGTGATGTTTTTTCTTTCTCCATAAACACAAATAGTGCCGATCAGAGGCTGTGTGCTAAAGTGCATTAAAGTTGAAATGTCTTTAAAACCTACAGCTGAATTTACACAAACTTCGTGAGAAACATGCTTTAAAATGAATTAAAGTAAGGAAATCTAGATGAAATGTTGCTTTTTTGTACACTGGTACATGTGCACACACACACTCACATGCACACACACTATACTGCCAAACACACACACACACACCCCATTACAGATGCTTCTGACGCCCATGCGTGACATGCTACTCGGTTTAAAGAACATAACAATACTGGACTCTCAGAATGAAACAAGACTGGGTTCACAGAAAGACACTCGCTTCTCAAGAGTCTTTTAAGATCTAAGAACAGTTCTTCAGTTCTACGTGACCTTCTAAAGCTGTGTGACCTTTGAACTCGGGGGTTCAAACTTATTTTTACATGGAGCCAAAAATAAAAACCTTCAAGAATCAATATGATTTGAAAAAGTAATAAATAAATATTTTTTCCATGTTTTCCTGATGTTTCTTTTTGAAAGATCTTCATGCAGAAATATCATCTATCCATTCATATCCTGATGCATGCTCAATAATCCAGGTAGAAAAATCCAAAAAAGTTCAATCTGGTCCTCTGGACATTCAAAAAACAAGAAAACAAAAAACAAAACAAAGCAAAAAAAAATGTAGAAACGTTTCGTCTCTCATCCGAGAGACTTCCTCAGTCTGAGGTGCTGTATTCAGCTCAGTCTCTTAAATAGCACCTTCTCAGAGTGGATCAACCAGTTTGCTGCTGACAACCAAAACCAGCTGATCACATGGTCAAGAAGGACCATCAGCCTAACAATGGATCATTAGCACCTGATGGCTGTTTACTGTTCACAGAGGGCTGAGTGATACTAGCAATCACAGCATTGTAAGAGGGGGACAGTTGAACCAGGAGGCTCCACCCCTGTTTAATGATGGACGATTTCTTTTCACAAAGATGGCCTCCTTTACTCCTCTCTCAAACCATCGTTCCTCTCTGTCCAGGATGTGAACATCTTCATCCCTGAAAGAGTGACCGCTGGCCTGGAGATGAGTGTAGACCGCAGAGTCCTGGCCTGATGATGTTGATCTTCTGTGCTGGGCCATCCTTTTGGCCAGTGGCTGTTTAGTTTCCCCGATGTAAGACTGATCACCCTCCTGACACTGAACAGCATACACAACATTACTCTGTTTGTGCCGGGGGACTGGATCTTTGGGATGAACCAGTCTTTAATGTATTTTGGGGTTTAAAAGCCACTGGGACGTTATGTTTAGAAAATAAACGTCTCAGTTTCTCTGATACTCCCTCAACATATGGAATGACCACTGGTCTGGGTCTGGGTTCCTCCTTTTCACCTGTTGGCTGACTGGAGTTGTGACTGTTTGGGTTTCTTCTTTCAGGAAGGCCCAGTTAGGATATCCACATTGCTCTAGAGCCTGTTTTGTGTGAGATTTCTCCTTCTGCCTGGCTCCTGAGCTAGTGGGGACGCTGTCTGCTCTGTGGTACAGAGTCCTGATGACTCCTAACTTGTGCTCCAAAGGGTGATGGGAGTCAAACTGCAAATACTAGTCTGTGTGGGTGGGTTTGCGGTACACCTCAGTTTGCAAATGTCCTCTATCAGAGACTGAGACCTCACAGTCCAAGAAAGCCAACTTGCCATTTTTTTCATCTTCTCGTGTGAACTTGATGTATTTATCCACAGAGTTGATGTGGACAGTAAAATGTTGGACTTCCTGAGATTTAATTTTAACCCAGGTGTCGTCAACATACCTGAACCAATGACTTGGTGGTGTCCCTGAAAAGGACGTCAAGGCTCTCTTTTCTACCTCCTCCATGTACAGGTTGGCAACAATAGGAGAAACTGGAGACCCCATAGCACACCCATGTTGCTCCCCATATGTGAAGTAGGTTGACTGCAGGCACAGTTTCAAGAGTTGACACAGTTGTTCTGTGGAAAGTGTGGTCCTGCTGCTCAGAGTGGTGTCTGATTTTAATTTTAAACTGACCACCTCTACTGCATCATCAACAGGAATGCACGTAAAGAGTGATGTGACATCAAAAGAGACCATTGTTTCATCAGTCTCCATGATGACATCCCTCACCTTATCCACAAAGTCCATGGTGTTCTGTATGTGGTGTTCTGAGCTGCCAACTAAAGGGATGAGTACAGACGCCAGATATTTGGAAACATTGTAAGTGACAGAGTTAATCATACTAACAATTGGTCTTAAAGGTACACCTTGTTTGTGGATTTTAGGTAAACCATACAGACTAGGTGTGGCCTCCCCTGGGTACAGTCTGTGGTACAGAATACGGTCAATAGCCTTGTCCTGCTCCAAATTTTTCAGGCAATCTATTAACTTCTTCTTGTAACCACTTCCTGGATCTCTTTTCAGAGGTTCATAAGTGTTTAAGTCACTAAGGAGTGTCATAACTTTCTCATGATAGTCTTTCTGGTTCAAAATCACTGTGCACCTTCCTTTGTCTGCTGGGAGAATGATGATGTTTTTGTCCTTGCTAAGAGTGGTGAGTGCGTCCCTCTCCTCTCTACTGATGTTGGAAGGTGGTGGTTTGGCATTGCTGAGGCAGGATGAAACTTTGATTCTGAGCTGTTCTGCTTCAGCCTCTTTAATTTTGTTGTTGCGGATGGCTGACTCAGTAGCTGTGATCATCTCCCACAGAGGATAGAGAGGAATGATGGTTTGAGAGAGGAGTAAAGGAGGCCATCTTTGTGAAAAGAAACCGTCCATCATTAAACAGGGGTGGAGCCTCCGTGTTCAACTGTCCCCCTCTCACAATGCTGTGATTGCTAGTATCACTCAGCCCTCTGTGAGTAGTAAACAGCCATCAGGTGCTAATGATCCATTGTTAGGCTGATGGTCCTTCTTGAGCATGTGATCAGCTGGTTTTGGTTGTCAGCAGCAAACTGGTTGATCCACTCTGAGAAGGTGCTATTTAAGAGACTGAGTTGAATACAGCACCTCAGACTGAGGAAGTCTCTTGGATGAGAGACGAAACGTTTCTGTATTTTTTTGCTTTGTTTTTTGTTTTTTGTTTTTTTGAATGTCCAGAGGACCAGATTTAACTTTTTTGGATTAGTTAATAATAGTTTGTGTTTCATTTTACACATTATTCATTTAGAAACATCTCACTGTGTCAGTACTTACAGAGCTTTGTTGGAGGCTTTGAGAACTGGCAGCAGCCTCAGAAGATGCTCCTTTTTAGCAGAATATTTATCCAGGTCAAACACGTCCAGATCTTTTCCTGACGTCAGTAAGATGAAGACCAGAGCTGACCACTGAGCAGGAGAAAGTTTATCTGTGGAGAGACTTCCTGAACTCAGAGACTGTTGGATCTCCTCCACTAGAGAACCATCATTCAGTTCATTCAGACAGTGGAACAGATTGATGCTTTTCTCTGCAGACAGATTCTCACTGATCCGATTCTTGATGTACTGGACTGTTTCCTGATTGGTCTGTGAGCTACTTCCTGTCTGTGTCAGCAGGCCTCGTAGGAGAGTCTGATTGGTCTGCAGTGAAAGACCCAGGAGGAACCGGAGGAACATGTCCAGGTGTCCATTTGGACTCTGTAAGGCCTTGTTCACAGCACTCTGATGGACATCATTAAGGTTTGTATTTTTAAAAAACTTGGACCACACAGAAACAGTTTGTTGTTTTTCTCCCATCAGATTGAGCCCAGAGTTGATGAAGGTCAGATGGACATGAAGAGCAGCCAGAAACTCCTGAACACTCAGATGGACGAAGCAGAACACCTTGTCCTGGTACAGGCCTCTCTCCTCTTTAAAGATCTGTGTGAACACTCCTGAGTACACTGAGGCTGCTCTGATATCGATGCCACACTCTGTCAGGTCTGATTCATAGAAGATCAGGTTTCCTTTCTGCAGCTGCTCAAAAGCCACTTTTCCCAGGGACTCAATCATCTTCCTGCTCTCTGGACTCCAGAGTGGATCTGTCTCAGCTCCTCCATCATACTTGACCTTCTTGACTTTGGTGTGAACCAGCAGGAAGTGGATGTACATCTCAGTCAGGGTGTTGGGCAGCTCTCCTCCCTCTCTGCTTTTCAACACGTCCTCCAGAACTGTAGCAGTGATCCAGCAGAAGACTGGGATGTGGCACATGATGTGGAGGCTTCGTGATGTCTTGATGTGGGAGATGATCCTGCTGGCCTGCTCCTCATCTCTGAACCTCTTCCTGAAGTACTCCTCCTTCTGTGGGTCAGTGAAGCCTCTGACCTCTGTCACCATGCCAACACACTCAGCAGGGATCTGATTGGCTGCTGCAGGTCGTGTGGTTATCCAGAGGCGAGCAGAGGGAAGCAGTTTCCCCCTGATGAGGTTTGTCAGCAGCACATCCACTGAGGTGGACTCTGTAACATCAGTCAGGATCTGATTGTTGTGGAAGTCCAGAGGAAGTCGACACTCATCCAGACCATCAAAGATGAACACAAGCTGGAAGTCTTCAAAGCTGCACGTTTCTTTGGTTTCAGTAAAGAAGTGATGAACAAGTTCCACCAAGCTGAACTTCTTCTCTTTCAGCACGTTCAGCTCTCTGAAAGTGAATGGAAACATGAAGTGGATGTCCTGGTTGGCTTTGTCTTCAGCCCAGTCCAGAGTGAACTTCTGTGTTAAGACTGTTTTCCCAATGCCAGCCACTCCCTTTGTCATCACTGTTCTGACTGGTTCCTGTCTTCCAGGTGGGAGTTTAAAGATGTCTTCTTGTCTGATGGTTGTTTCTGGTGTGTGTGGTTTCCTGGATGCTGTTTCAATCTGTCTGACCTCATGTTCATCATTGACCTCTCCAGTCCCTCCCTCTGTGATGTAGAGCTCTGTGTAGATCTCATTCAGAAGGGTTGGGTTTCCTGCTTTAGCAATCCCCTCAAACACACACTGGAACCTCTTCTTCACACAACTTTTAAGGTTACGTTGACAAACTGTGACTTGTTCTGAATGAACAAAATTTAAACAATTGTTAATTAAACAATAAATTCCTCTCAACAGTGAAATCTCAAAAGTTAAATGTTTATAGAAATCCTCTTACTGCTCTGCAGACGGTCAGCCAGCTCCTCCTGCTTCATCCTCCTCAGGAAGTAATCTGTGATCTTCATCAATGCCTCTCTGCTCCTCCTCTGCTCTTCATCTTCACCCGCCAACACCTCCTCATTTTCCCTCTGACTCTCTAAGCATTCTGGGTAATCTGGACTCAGAACCTTCTGGATCTTCTTTAACTCGTTCTTCACAAAAGTGACTATGTTGTCCTCCAGCAGCTGGAACAGAAAAATATCTGAATGACACATCAGACTGAAATCATGGAGCCAAACACCAGATCCATGTTGGACAGAGTGACAGTCCACTGGTCTACATGTTGGACAGACTGACAGTCAACTGGTCTACATGTTGGACAGAGTGACAGTCCACTGGTCTATTTTATCACTGATTTTAGTTGCACTTTGTAGAACTTTGAGATTTTTGTTAATGAAAAGTGTGTTACAAATTAAATTCATTATTATTATTATTATATGTTGGACAGACTTACAGACCACTGGTCTATATGTTGGACAGATTGACAGTCCTCTGGTCTACATTTTGGACAAAATAACAGTACACTTGTCTATGTTTTGGACAGACTGGCAGTCCATTGGTCTATGTGTTGGACAGACTTACAGTCCACTGGTCTATATGTTGGACAGACTGACAGTCCACTGGTCTACATGTTGGACAGACTGACAGTCCACTGGTCTACATGTTGGACAGACTGACAGTCCACTAATCTACATTTTGGACAAACTGACAGTCCACTGGTCTATGTGTTGGACAAACTGACATTCCACTGGTCTACTTGTTGGACAGACTAACAGTTCAATGGTTTAGATGTTTTACACAATGACAGACCACTCATCTATATGTTGGAGAGACTGACAGTCCAATGTTCGACATGTTGGACACAATAACAGACCACGGGTCTATATGTTGGACAGACTGACAGTCCAATGGTATATATGTTGGACAGACTGTCAGTCCACTGGTTTACATGTTGGACAGACTGACAGTCCACTGGTCTACATTTTGGACGGACTGACAGTTCACTGGTCTACATGTTGGAAAAACACAGACCACTCATCTATATATTAGACAGACTTACAGTCCACAGGTCTACGTGTTGGACAGACTGACAGTCCACTGGTCTGTGTGTTGGACAGACTGACAGTCCACTGGTCTATGTGTTGGGAAGACTGACAGTCTACAGGTATACATGTTGTACAGATTGATAGTCCTCTGGTCTACATCAGAATCAGAATCAGAATAAACATTATTGGCATTGCACCGAGATACAACGCAAATATGCATGTGCAGTCGTCCGAAGATGGGCGGAGTGCACGAAGCTGTGGCTATAAATAATTAGCGCGGCCTTCTTATTCTTATTCAGAATAATATTTTGCTTGGATAAGAAAAGGAAAGAAAACATGAGGAGAGACGGTATAAAAAAAATCTCTCACACCGTGTCCTAGACAGGGCACAATTTGAGGCATCAAAAGAACCTACCACAGCAAAGCAACATAAACAGACGTTATACATGAACATATAGGCCGGTGAAAACATTGAATTTTTAAGGGAAAGTCGTAGCATAGTCCAGAGCCCCCCCTCAGCCATTGTCCAGATAAGAGGTGACGTTCATCTTCAGCTCAGTTGAGGTTCTGTTACATGTCCACGGCCTTGGGGAAGGGAGGGGTGAGGAAACAGTCAAAGCATCTTTGTTGTTTTCAAACATTCCAGGAGGAGTTGAAATAAGTCCGGCATCAAGGCCACAGTTTGGGTCAGGCAGAACTCGTGAATTGTTGTATATGCCTATAAAGTTTTCCTGTACATATTCTCTGTCTCTGATGGAAACTCCAAAACAGCTGAATTGATCCTTTACTCCAAAAGTCGAGCTCACAGCTTCTCCAGATTATTCCACCATTCATGAGTGCTGCCAGGGAGATCACAGTCCTGATAACAGCTGCTCCAATTCCCTGTCACAGCTCCACATTCAGTCCGAGCACTGTCAAGCTTCAACACCTCCACACGAACTTGTAGACAACCAGATTTCACCAACCAAACAGTAGAATCTAGTTGTCATCATGAATCCAATTTGTTTCCTTAGAGGTCAGAGGGTCCTCCTTACCCTGACTCCTGTCGGGAGAAGTTGATCGATTTTGTTGAGAGACCAGCTGATCCTTCCAATTAAGAGGTATGCAGGAAAAAAAGAGGCTTTTTTTAAGGGTTCACAGGACAAAAGAGTGCAGCAGGGAAACGGGTGGGGGGGGGGGAGAGGGAAAACACGTCTGGTTTCACCATAGAAAAGCTGGAAAAATGTTGGTCAGATTGAAATTCCACTGGTTTACATGTTAGACAGACTGACAGTCCACTGGTCTACATATTGGACAGACTGCCAGTCCACTGGTCTACATGTTGAACAGACTGACAGTCCACTGGTCTATATGTTGGACATACTGCCAGTCCACTGGTCTATATGTTGGAAAGTCTTACAGTCCATTGGTCTATATGTTGGATATACTAAGAGTCCACTGGTCTATGTGTTAGACATAGTGACGGTCCACAGGTCTATGCATTGGACAGACTGACAGTCCACTGGTCTACGTGTTGGACAGACTGACAGTCCACTGGTCTGCATGCTGGACAGACTGACAGTCCATTGGTCTACGTTTTTGACAGCCTGACAGTCCACTGATCTACATGTTAGACAGACTGACAGACCTCTGGTTTACATGGTGAACAGACTGACAGTCCACTGGTCTACGTGTTGGACAGACTTAAAGTCCATTAGTCTACATGTTGGAAAGACACGTCCACTCATCTATATATTGGACAGACTTCCAGTCCACTGGTCTACATGTTGGAAAGACTGCCAGTCCACTGGTCTATATGTTGGATACACTGACATTCCACTGGTCTATGTGTTAGACAGAGTGACAGTCCACTGGTCTATGCATTGGACAGACAACCTACTTCACATATGGGGAGCAATATTATAGGCAGAAACATGGG